GGTTGTACAATTGGTGGCGAATGGTTTTAAATCGGTCTCTTATACACATCTAGATGTGTATAAGAGACAGGTATATAATATTATAATTTAAATATTATGTCTAATAATAACTCTCAGTGAAATTCCATTGTCATTGTCTTTGGGCAATTTTTTAATAGGTATATAGTTGTAGATAAAAATATGTATATATTTGTAGAATATTTAAATATTAAATATTTACACATCCAACAATCTCGGAGCCCGCTATTTGGCGAGAATGAAATTGTCTTATCAATATGACTTAAAAGCCCCACGTCAAATTCAATGGTATCCAACTTTCACAATTAAAAAGCCCACGTTATCAAATGAGCACTTCAGCATTTATCTCAAATGGATAAAAAAGCGAGAAAGGCTAATCTAATGCCAATTGCATGTACGAAATAGTAAATCACAGATTAAGCTAATAAGTCTCATAGAGTTAGCTGATAGCACCCACAACTGCGAAATAAATAAAAATCTTTGTTCGTCACGAACAAAGTCACACAAAATGAGCGCGTCACTGTGTGAAGAAGGGACCTACAAAATCGCTGCGCCGGGAAATAAGCAGGCGATAAAGCCAAATGAGGAAGAACGCCTGGTCGATCAACAACAGGATAAGGTTTTGTTTAGTGTTATCATGTTTACTTGGGCGCTCTATTTAATGTTGCTGATCTATGTGAATTTCAGGCGGGGCTATGGAGCAAGCAGCTGGCCTTTGTTGGATATGGTGCAACCATAGGTTCAGCAATTCCTGCAGGATATTGCATTGGTGTTATGAATAGTCCTGCAGAGGTTAGTTCACCAGCAAATGAATTTGTTTCTAAATAACGAATCTTTCTTTATTTCTACAACTTTTAAATACGAAAATACTTTTGCAGTTTATGCGCGATTGGTGTAATCAGACACTGATAGAACGATATGACTGGGAGTTGGGAGAAATGGGTATCAACATTCTATGGTCAACGATTGTTTCGATTTTCTTAGTTGGCGGCGCAATAGGATCTCTTACAGGAGCAAAAGTGGCCAACCGTTTCGGAAGGTAACGTTCATGTCTAAAATAATGTACTAAAACAAAAAAATATTTATGTTAACGAACATCAGAATTTCAACTCAGATTTTAAATTTTGTTTAATTATTAAACGCATAACTGATTTTATGCAGTTACCATATTCATTCGATTTTATATTCTTGTCCTTTTGTGTAATAGCCTAAAATAAAAGTTACCTTACACAAAAGTAATAAAAGTGTATTAATTTTAATCCCTATACTTTTTTTAGGCGTAGCAGTTTTCTCTACTGCGGTGTGATCTTCATCATCTCCGCTATACTATTCTACACCTGTCGCATGCTCCGTTCGGTGGAAGCGCTTATTATTGCACGTTTTCTGGCAGGCCTAGCATCAGGTTTAACAACGGCATGTTTGCCCATGTACCTGTCAGAGGTGGCACCACTATCAATGCGCGGTGTTTTAGGTGTCTTCTGTCCAATGGGCCTAACCGCCGGCGTTGTGATAGCACAAGTATTTAGTTTACGAAGCGTCTTCGGTAATGCTGATCAATGGCACATCGCGATCAGCCTTTATATTGTGCTAGTGTTAATATGTTATGCACCTATGAACTACTATCTAGAAAGTCCCAAATGGTTATACATTATGAAAGGTGATAAGGTTACCGCGCGACAACAACTGGAAAAGTTACGTGGAAAAGTTGGTGAAAATGCGATTAATAGAGAGATTTTGGAGATGGAAGCTGAAGCGAATGCTAAAAATCAGGTCAGCAGTTACAAGGCCATTCTTAGCGATCCTAAGCTTCGCTTACCATTGATCATCGTTTGTGCTTATCAAGGCGGACAACAATTATCCGGTATTAACGCTGTGAGTAAAGTGTTCATAAACAGTAACATTTATAAAGAGAATGAAGAAACGTCTACATTTGGCATTTATTTTACTTTGTTCGAACATTTGGGGAATTAAATGGACTTAAGTAAAAATTATTAATTTGGTTCCCTTTATAAGTTGCTTTGTACATCAATTATATTTATTTGGTGACATACTAAATTTTCCAGATTTTCTACTATTCGGTGTCTATTTTTCTGAAAGCTGGGTTATCTGCAACTGCTGCCGAGTGGACTAATTTAGCTGCTGGTAGCCTTAATTTGGCAATATCATTATTCGGGCCATATTTAATGGCACGCTTCAATCGTCGTCCACTTTTTCTGTTCTCAACGTTTTTTAGTGGCGTCTTTTTGATGGCATTTGCAGTGTTACTCTATTTTATTGTGAGTACTAGATCTTCTTGTTCAATTGAATGACTTTTCTAACTTATCTTTTTTCGTTTCAGGACTATGTCTCTTGGTTTGCAATGGGCTGCATCGCTTGCATATTTCTTTATATTTTCTTCTACCAGTTTGGTTTAGGTCCCATACCATTCTTCATTGGATCTGGTAAGCAATTATTCATGTCATTAAACATATACATATTAGCTTACTTTTAATTTTGACAGAACTTTTCGAAGTGGCTCCACGCCCAGCTGCCATGTCTCTTGGAAGTCTTTCCTCTTGGGTATGTAATTTCACCGTGGGCATGCTCTTTCCAACACTACAAGAAGTATGGGGCTCTTTGGTGTTCATACCTTTCTCCTTGGTCTGCATTTTGCTTTTCTTACTGACCAAACGCTATTTACCGGAAACTAAAGGTCGTGACCCATCTCAGGTTGTACAATTGGTGGCGAATGGTTTTAAATCGAATATACATGAAGACAAATAATTTCAACTTAATATTATTTAAACTCTTTAGGGCATATGCATTAAGAGTGTTTCTTATTATTTTTTTTATTATACTTATGTTATAGCATATATCAAATTAATTTATTTAACGTTGACATTTGGTTTTGAATTGGACTTACCCAAGGTTGTTCAATCTCTCCCATGTGCGTAACTAATTTCTTCATCGTAGCACGTTTTAAGGCCATACCAATCATTACCGATTTACGACATGCTCGCGATGCAAACATGTCGCGTATTCGTGATGGTCGGCACACAATTCCTGGAGGAGCATCCTGAAGCATGAAGAGTAACTCGTCAATATCCTCCTTGCCGAATTCCCAACGCTGGCTGGAGGGTTTACGCAGTAATTTAACTCTCTTAGTAGACGGCGCTGCATCAAAATTTACAAAGAAATCTGACTACTTACTCTTTCCTACTCTGATATGATCAAACCTATTTACCACTTTCATTGATTTCAAATTTGAAGCCGTTTTTTTCAAACACTGGCAGGTGATCTAGCAATAGCATCTCATTGGCCGCCGTCAGTTCGAGTGGCTGCGGTATAGCCAGTGGTTGTGATTGCATAACCGTTGTTCGTTGCAACACCTCGAAGTTATATTTCTCGTCAGTGGCGTGTTGATCGATGATAAAAAGATCCGTATCCAATTTCACAATGATGAAACCTAAATTAAATTGACCTAAAACTTCCATTTTGGCAAAAGTATCCTTGCTAATTTCACGTTGTAATTCCTCTTCTGCCTTTAGATTTTGGCTGGGCTGAATTTCACTTTTGAAGCGTAAGCGCTCTAGCTTGGCTTTATTAGACTGTTTAATTTCAGCCTTTAACTTTTCCTCAGCTTTAATATTTCGCTCGATTTCTGGGAGCGTAATACGCATAACTCCAGTAGAGTAGTACTTGCTAGTAGATTCAGCATCTATTACACTCTCATCTAACACTACAGTTTTTGTAGCAGACAATTGAGAACACGTCACATCTTCATCTTCGTTATTTTTATTCATCGAATCCATCAAATTATCAACTTCAACCGGAACGTCTGAATGCAAAAATAATTCCGGCTTGTTAGATAAAACTTCACAATCCAGGCGCTCCACAGTCTTCTCAGTCAGTGAGTCGAATTCTAAAGGAAAAAATATTTTAACTAATAAATAGAAAATAAATCCTTGATTTTTTTAGTTTTCGTTTCAGACCTAGAGATTCTTTGTTTAGACGTTGTAAATCAAGTATACTATTGTCAAATGATTTCTGTTCATTCAATACCACATTTGAGACATTTGCCTTAGCTGGTTGACTAGTTTCGTCATCATCACTCTCAGACTGCACTCTGAATTCTTTAGGCATATCAGAATGTCTTGGATTTTCTCTATCTAAATACTCATGTATTTTCTTTAATTTTAACGTACGCACTTCTACCTCGTCTGGATATTTACGCTTTTTAGAGACCTGTGGGGCTGTGCCTACTGTATCGCCAGTTTTCTTCCATTGCGACAATACATCCATAAAACGTTGTGAACTGCTAATTGGCATATTCTCGAGAGGTTCTTCAGTGGTTACTTTATCTTCAACATTTTCATTCTGCGCACTTTCTCGACCATTTCCCAACATACTAACTACAGTAGAGTTTTGAAGTTTATATGTAGATGGTAAGTTGGCGTAGGTACTCAGCAATGCCTTTTTGATTGCTATTATCAATATTTTTTCATTGTGAATCAATAACTGCCGTTTATCTGGAGTTAGATTTACATCCACGTCCGACCGAGAAGTAACGATGTTTAAAAATATAAATGGATATTGATGACTATTGTAGCGATGATAAGTTTCATTCACAATTTTTGATATCTGAAAAAAGTAATGCAAGTTATATTTGACGGTGGAGGTGATGGAAAATCTTACACTTTTTGGATCACAGGGTCTCGAGTTTATATAAAAATATTGGCGATCTTTGGATGATCGGCCGGCACCATGATTGCAGCTGGATACATAGCCTTCCAACTTAAAACGTGAGGATTTTAATTGCTCCAAATCTTCTCGTGTAATTTGCAAATTATCATCCGTTCCAAATTCTGACTGTAATTTTGCATGTAAGCCTTCTTCGGTTAAAGCCTGGTCCACACAGAAGATCGACTTTAAAGGCAAAAGCTCGGATGCTTGACGATTTCCGAAAACTGCACCGACATTTGCTAGAACATCTTGACTTCCATGTGTTTGCATAACTACCATTTTAGCACCTTTCGCATTCTGATTGGTACAAATTATACGAACACCTCGCGCTACTAAACAGTATGCCTGTAAAATTTGACACATTTTGTTGAACTCTTTGCGAACGTTACGCGTAAAATCGCGACGCCTCACAGGTAACGTCACAAATAAATTTGTTAATGTAACCGTGGTGCCAACACCGCGAGCGCAAGGGGTGCGCTTTTTAATTTTACCCTCATGATCGAGTTCCAGGCGTACACCTACACATATATAAAAACCAACTCAAAGTATAATTAAAGTTGTTCATTATGGTAATAGCATTAATATGACCCACCAACATCTTTCGTGGAATGTCTTGTGAGCACTAACAAGTCAGACAAAGCACAAAGGGAACTAAGTGCTTCCCCGCGGAATCCAAACGTTTCAACATTTTGCAAATCAACAAAGTCTTTGATCTTCGATGTATGGTATTTGGCGGCTGCAATTAGAACGGTATCAATATCAATTTCAGCTCAAAATCGACATTCCTTACTCATAGCTTCGAGATCACTTTCACGAACTCCGCAACCATTATCACTAACTTCTAACGATTCTAAACCTTGTTCCCGAAGTTTAACTTCAATGAGCGATGCACCGGCGTCGATGGAGTTTTCGACAAGCTCTTTCACAGCCACCGCCAGAGTAAGCACAACCTAACAGGCAATCATTTTAATTTACATTATTTAACGGCGTTTATAGGTGTTTTATTTAAAGTACTATAAACAATACCTGCCCAGAGCAAATCCTATGCACAGTGTCCTTAGCAATAGCTTTAATTTCTCCACACTCAGCTTTTGTTGGTTCATGTATTATAATTTCATCTGCCATTTTATATATAATCAATAACAACACAATATAAACATGCACAATAAAAATAAAAAATTAATTTCTGCATTCTTTGCGATAAAACATAGTAACGAACGGAAGCGCCAAAATAAATTTTGACATTTGACAGCAAAAAATTGCCAGATGATAAATAATATACCCTGACGATGGTATTTTAAATTTGTCACGCAGTTTGTAACAGACCCATGGAAACGTCCGAGACCTTATAAAATAAATATATAAATTATTTCTACCTATCCATTTCCGTCCACTCCACTATAGCATATACTTATGTATGTATGTATGTAGCTGATATACAAACTGAACGATTAAATTTACTTTTCAATTGAAGAGATATCTTCACGAACATTTGGACATATCTTTGCTCAACACTAAATGATATCTGAAAAAATTTCTCAGATCGGACTGATATAGCATATAGCTGCCATACATCCTGATCGATCAAAACCTACATATCTTCACAATTTGGCATTTGTTATTTATTGCCCGAGGCAACGGTACAAAATTGTTCACATCGAATATGAAGTACACAGCTGCCATGCACTGACCGACTGTGAAGGGTATTACAGCTTCGGTGCAGCCGTCGTTAAACTTTCTTTTTATTACTTTCTTTGGTCCTATAGACTAAAACCTTTGGATAAGCTGATGAATTTCTTATCCCTAAAATTAGTGCAGGTTCACCAGTTTTTGCATTATATAATTAATCAACCCAACTAGTCAGTTTTTCATAACAGCGAATCGAACTAATACTGGGCCAACACGGTAGCATTTTCTAAAACTACTTGTTAAAAGTTTTAATTATTAGTCTTTATTTGGAATCACTTACATAATTTTTATTAATTATAACAAATGTAGACATTGATGTTAGTTTTACGAAAGAAAAGTAAGGTGATGTAATGAATATATAACGGTTACATGAGTATCACTTGGGAAATGAAAATGCTTACAATTAACTATTCAGTGACTACATATTGTTTCCACAAATCTTGGCATCACTTTGTTTCCATGCAATATGAGAATATGTAATCTTTTATGAATATTGGAGAACTTATTACATGAAAGTAAAATATTGTGACATTTAAACTATCCTTTGTTTTCAGATTTAAATCTAAAGATAAAAATATATTTTTTTAATGAGGCAATACAAAGAGACAAAATCATGATGGAAATTTTAAATAACTCTTAGGACAATTAACTTTGAGGAATTATAAATTTACAAAAACATATATATAAATTGAATTATAAATTGAACAAAAACTTTTCAGTAATTTGCATAATTTTATGTTATATAGAAAACTCATAATATTAAATAAATTAAGAGTACATAACTTTGTGTCTGCTTAAAAATGTAACAAAATTTTATTATATAAAAAAATATATTTTCATTTCAAATTATTTGCTCTTTTCATTTGCTACTTCTTCGAGTTTGGCAATAACTTTTTTCAATTCCATTTCACGTGCTATTTTAAGGTACATTGTCTTACGTACCTCGTGAAAGGACACCCATGCAGGTACCACTTTGGCCATAAGCTTTAAATGAGCCTCCAATTCTTGTGCCGTTAAACAAGCACGATAACTATTTTGAATCTTTTTTATGACGATTTCTAGCATTAGCACACCTTTGCGCTCGGTAATGAAAACGTTACGTAGATGACGTGCCAACTCTGGAAGGCGTGAGTACATAGTGGCTTCCTGATCTTGTGAGGGTCGCCTTGTCATAGCATCTAACGCTTTGGCCGCTTGCTTGGCGCGTATTTTCTCTAGCAACGATTTAGGCACACCTTTCAATAAATTAGAAGTGACATCATTTCCAGTGCCCATTGTGTTTTGGCAAGCCTCAGCGGGTGCAGGAGTTACTTTGATTGTAGAAGTTTCCGTGGTCACTGTAGCCAGAGCTCCGGATTTGATAGATGTCGCCAGACGATCTTTACTTTCATGTGTGTCGCCTTTTGTGTCAGTCGTAGAGGTGACTTTAGAGGCATTATTTGCATTCTCTTCTGCCACTCGTGTTGCTTCCATCTTAGCTTCGTAACGTTCTAGCGCTCGCTCCATTGGTGTTGCACAGTTGAAAAGATTACGTGCTGTAGACAATATATCGCGCGCCGAAGAATACTTCTCCACGTTCGGTGGCTGCGGTAAATGAGCGCATTCAATTTCTGGGCAGTTTTCTAGTTCGAAATCCGGATGCCAACGCGTCACTTTTGACTTAGGTATGCGGATCGGCGGATCAAGTGTTTGCAAGAACTTTTCGTGTTCATTTAAAACGCGTTGTAACATAGTATTTGTAAAACGTTGCAAACGCTCAGTCATAACTTGCGGATTCATTACGCATGTTTGAGCCGCTTTCAAAATATTATCGGCAACATCATTTTCCTCTAAAATACGACTCTTTACTTTTTCCAACGGGTTGCCGTCAACATTTGGACAAATAACTAATTGGAAATAGTCAGCCTTTGATACGGAACCATAATTGCGCATTTTCATTTGAGAAAAAATAAATGCATCTGGATACAAATGTTTAATTTGTGCCAAATGGGTTTCTGTGAAATTTTTACGCAGCATCCTTTGCACGGCCGGTTTCAATTTTTTAAACGTAATGCATTCCTTGCGATTGTGGAACATAGCGCACACAGAGTCCACTCCCTTGAATACTTCTATAAGATTACGATATTTAAATGGCAATGGCAACTGGCCAGCTTTGCTTGACTCGGCAAGGTTCATAAAACGCTGGTAAGCAGGTGGCACCACAACTTTTGCCGGCGAACCCTGCTTTGCAGGGCTGAAGAGGATGCGTTTCGACACATCTGTATGACGTGGTGACATAAGTTCATTTTTATCTGGTGTTGGTGGTGGTATTTTGGTGGGGGTCTTGAATGTTTTTGCCGGACTGCAATAAAAACAAAAGTATAACTTGCAGGAGAATTTCAAGTGAAAGAAATAAATAAAACATAATTCGTAAAATATCCACTATTCATAAATAATATATGAGATATTTTATAAAACTCAAGAAACTCATAGGTAACATATAACATATGTAGATACAACGGCGAAAAGATTGATTCAAAGATTAAAAATTGAAGCAAAAGACGTAAGATTAATGCATCTATCTATACAAAGGCCAACATTTTCATATTTCATCATACAGGAATATTCAGATGCCTCCTTTTATTACATGGGGTCTGCTGTACTGTACCAGATAAATTTTATTTATGGATGTGTATCTATGTAGTATCAAAACAAATTTCCTTTCACAATTCATTCTTTGCTACCTGACTTCACTTTTGAAGAAATTGTAACCGACCGTTACAAAAACAACCCTTAATACAAGGATAAAACAATCTAAAAAAAACAACAAAAAATTGAGCATTGGAATGTGAAAGAGATAAGTAAAGTCAAAGTCATATAAGAGGAAATAAAAAGATTCTTGATATACTTTGGGTATGCATTTATGTATACACTAGCATGTAATAGCCAGGCAGTATTGCAAGAATGTAAACAAGAGTGTTTCTGCTTTATTTGCTTCCAACTGCAACGCTAAGCAAAAGAAGCATGCAAGCTACTAGGAAGAGAACAAAAAATTTAAATGTTTGACAATGACGTAGAGTAACGCCATGAATTACATAGCTAACTGAATGACCATCAGACCGTTGGTAAATGCAGTGACAGCAGTTTAACACTCGCCAGTCTTCTATACCAGTGAGAGCAGTTGAAATATATACTATATACATATAAAAAAAAAAACTTATATGACCTCAATAGTTTATCGGGTTATCGTTGTAGGCCGCATACAGTATGTGAAATTGGGGAACTCGATTCAATGAAGTTATATAATATCAAAAATAGGTTGGATTGGTCAGTGTTTTGAAACTTACCTAGTCAATACTTCCAATTCAATCGTATCGAATTCCCTAAGCTGAACAAGGGCAGTTGTTTTCTTTAATGGCGAGACGCTTTGACCGTCACGTAAACGACGATTACGGTCTTCTTGGGCTTTGCGCGTCTTTTCAAGATCTTGAATGCGCGATAGAGAAGCTTTTAATTCCTGCAATTTGGCGCTGCGCGACAATTTCGTCTTTACTTCATCGAAATTTAATTCCTTCCGTACGAGACCCTTCAAGTCATCGTGCTTTAGAGGTGTAACACCAGAGCCTTTTATAATTTGTTTGGTTGGAGTTTTGAGCCCTCGTAGTACATTTGTTGCATTGTCCTTAGACGCAAAGGCATTTGCTATCTTTATGGCTGTATTAGCGCTTGGTGTTTCTTCATTCTTCTTTTGTATTTCATTAATTGGTGTTGCCTTTTTCCTTGGGGACATTGGTCCCTTTTTGATAAATTGTACTAGTTTTTGTTGTTGTAATGGGATCTGTTCCAATTTATTCTGCTTTTTAAGCGGCACTTCGGCTGTGGGTTGAATACCAGTACGCTTAATCGTACGTCCGGATCGAGTCCGTATACCCATTGCAGCTGCTTTAATAGCGGTGATATCGTCATCATTTTGGATTCCCGCTACAGTGGGAGTAGGAGAAGGGACAGCCGATGCATTGTCATCTGTTAGTCGCTGTAAAATGTAAAATTTGTTAAATTAATGCCGATTCCATCGTCATCGAAGAGCATATTTATCTTTAAGAGCATGTTTAATTACATCACACACATACATACACGCACCCACGTATGTACTAGCATACGTATAAGAGTGCAATTTTAAGGGTGAAATGCCTTTACATGCAAAATGTTCGTCTGACGATCCACTTAAGCACGCCAAAGGATATTGTCACTTTCGCAGTTAAATACATTCACAAAAACAAATATTAGTCCTTTACTACTACTTACCCGACTTTTAATAGCAGTCACTTCATCCGTAGCGACTCGCTTACGCGTATTAAAAAATGAAGCAATTGATGGCTGTGACATTATGTATTTTGATAGTTATTTTATTTTGTATTTAATATCCTTGCAATCTTGCAATTATTATAATTTCACAAAAAAATGCACGTCTTCTTATCAATGGTCTTTAACAAGTTCACGCCACACACGTCTTTACTTTATCCCGCTCAAATTCCGACTGACATGAATTTTCCCTCCAAAAGCATTCACAGAATGAAGCGAACACCACTCTTTACCAATGTGCACACATATTGTAAGCATGTGTGTGTGTATGATGCATGTCACTCGTAGTCATTCAAAAGGGCATACAACGCTCTTATTAAATTTAAATTATTATCCTATTACTTTTGCAATAACTATACTACCGAACATTATTAGATAAGTGCGTCCGTTTAGAAAACTTCGTTATTTGCTGCTAAATGAACTTTAATAAACTGCTATGCTAGTAGTAGTATTTGGCGCGCAATTTCTTCCCCTTCGCGCGCTTTTGTTTTGGGAAATTTTTTACCAGATTCATTTGGTGCTACACTATTCTCGGCTACATGCCGTTTCACTCTATCGCAATCTATTCGCACGAAATGTCAATTTGATATCAGCTGTTTTATTAAGTTATGTTGGACTCTCTCATTTTTTCGTTCGGTTTCTATTCAATGTGTGCAAAAAACAAAAACAAAAAAAAACAAAAAAAAAAATTAAAAACGATCCTACAAAATATTACGCATCTGCCACTAACTAATAAAGCATAAATATATTTTAATTGAGTCTATACAATATTGGATCATTAAACATAACTTTCATCGCACAACTTCTAAAAGTAAACTTAGTAAAAGCAAATAACAACGATCTTTGTTTGCACAGAGTGTTTGTAAAACTTGCACTTTATCGCCAAATATTAAAGTATTGAGTCTGAGTTGCTTTTATTATATTCCCCACTATGCCATAGTTACCAGAACGTTTGTTTATTACCAATTTTTTCTAGTCAAAGTTGAATATATTATGATCGGATACAATGTAAAAAGCTTAAAATTTTTCAAAAATACAATTATATACCGTTCGAAGTGTTAGTGGTTCAAACACAAATTAGAGATCGTATAATATAGAGAAGGTTCAATTGCAGATAGGAGTGTGAACTGTCAAGAGCTAACGAAATCCTATTACTGGATTTCACCAATTTTGGCTCGGAAGGAGAAATTTAAAAATAGATGAGTGAACAGTGCTGATCATTGAATGAAAATTATGCTCAGAAATATGAATTGCTTTTACAGATGTATGTTGCTCTTTTGCTTATATTTTTATACGTTTACATGCAACCATATCAATTGATATGAATATAATTTTGCGAATTTTGTGAATTATACGTTCTCTGCACAAATAGAAATCAAATTCATTTAATAACAAATTATTCACACACTAATGAGCATATACATACATTCTTGCACTTGCTATATGTTTCACTACAGCGCTGTATATATGAATATATCATATTTATCACATTTATATGTCGTTTTCTATATAATTATCAATTAAAAAATGCTACAAACAATTTTTTTTTCTGACACTTAGTGAATAACGCGTATTGCTTATGAAATTTTCTATTAAAATGCAACTCTGATGGTAAAGCAGCGATTCCAACCACATGTTTAAATGAACCTGGGTGAGAAATAGAGAACATTCTCTGTAATAAGTGGAAAGAGTTCTAGATGGAGCAAAGTTTTGATTGGTTTTTCTTTCATCGCATTTCCTAAGAAATGTAAGTGTAGTTATTAGAAAGATCAGAATATTTCACAATTGTTACAAATGGAAGCTTCCTAATGATAGTAACAGTTGTATTGAAAAAAATATGCGAAACATTGCAAAAACACAGACGAATGTAGTTGGCAATGCAAGTTCTTTGACATACTTGTCGGTTGACGACATTCGCAAACGTATGGCTATCGAATTTGCGAAAACGAAATAGACTATGTTGTAGATCAAAATTTGGGTAGTTTGTATTTGGGTTAGAAAAAGATAGAATGATTGATCTAATTAGAAGTTCTATATAAAATTTTGTTCGTTGCGTTTTTTGTTTAATTTCTTTTTCTACCACGAAAAAAACTTGAGCGGAGAAAATCTTTTCAAGTTTAGTAAAAATTTTGATAGTTTAATTTTCAAGCTAGGAAATTTGTGAAAAATTGTCACAGTGAAAAATCTTTGAATGAATTTTCGAGTAGGCGGTGGACGTACTTCTAAAAGAAGAGACGAACCTAGCCAAATTTATAACGAAGAAAAAATCTTACCAACTTTTCTTTTTCAACAATTTCTATAGTGCGACCAAGGAAGTGGTGTGGCTGAAATAAAGAAAGAAAAATACGATACGAAGACAAAAATTCAATATTTCGATAGACGCAGACGTTTTCTCAAAACATTAAAACTGATTGAGAAAAAGAACTATTATCCATTTAGCATATTTGTAGCAGCTGGAGCGATATTGACCAAAAACAGTTCGCTTTCATTTTGCAGCATCTCAAGTAAGGGTAGCAAAAACACCAGCTGTCTTTACGGCCAAAGTAGCGGCGGCTAGGTTAAAGACCATTGAAATGAACACAAAAGCTGACGTCAACAGGCGAGTTCTGGCTATACAAGCCAAGAAGAAACGGCATAAGCCCAACAAGAAGCGTGGTAAACAGAATGGCGTGGCTGGTGGTTCCGGTAGTGGTGTTGGTCAGACACCGGGAAATTCTAATAATAGCAACGCAAGTGGAGCTCCACCAACATCTCCTATTTCGCCTGAAGGTGAAATCACTGCGAAAATGTCTAAATCATTTAGTGGAGCCCCATCCACAAGTGGCACAGGTTCACTAGCAACTAATACGTCAGCTACATTGTCTACCAATAATTTAGATGAAAGTTCACACCTGAGAAGTTCGGTGAATAACGCCAGTGGTGGCGGTGGCGCTAGTGGAGGAGGTAAAAAGTACTCGTCTAACTATCAGCAGCAGTTGTTGCCGCAGCAGCAACACCAGCAACAGCAAAAATGTATTAACAATTTCCATGTGCAGCAACAGTTTCAGAATGCACAACAGCATCAATATGACGATCCTCAGATTCAGCAACAGCAACAATACCAATACCCGCCACGCAGTTCATCGAATGATTCGGAAGACTCTGAATTGAATAGTGAAAATGAGGAGCAAGAATTAAAGGAAGACTACTGCAAAGGGGGTTATCATCCTGTGAATATTGGCGACTTGTTTCAAGGTAAATGTTAGGAATACTAACAAAGAATTGCTAAATACACGAAAGGTTTTTCAAGTGTTATCAGTATTATGTAGCAACAAATACTGCATACAAATGTTTGTAATATGCATGTTTGTTTTTCTTTAAGTTAAGTGAGCCAAGAAATATCAATTTAGGAGTTCGTTTATATTTAGTTAACACGCCTTCTCAGAGGCTCATTCCTGGCATGTGCACGTTTTTTTTTTCAGTGAGTAGTAGTTGGTTTGGTTTCATCCTAACATATTATCATTGTTTTTGTGATTAGGCCGAAAAGCAACAAGGAAGTGCAAAAACATCAATAAAATGTATTCATGTTTATTTTTTCCTCGTTGTATACCCGCATACTTTATATTTATTGTTATTATTTTGCATATTTTCATTTTAGTATTTCATACGTATATACATATTTGTATATCTACATATATTTCATTTAGTTTTTACTTGGAACGCATTTCGTAGTCGACTTAATCAGTTTTCAATCCTTGATCAGGTAAAAACACGTTTAAGTTGCAGTTTCGTCGACCGACTGTCGTAAAAACGGCTGTTTTGTGAGTAAACAATTTATTAATAGATATCGCTTCCGTGCATACTATTCCATGACTAAACACCGAAAAGACTTCACGGTTTTGTGGGATATTAAATAATTAGCAAGTTTTTGCTAATAGACAAAGATTAAGTTTATAAAAGCACGAAAAGATTTTATATAAAAAAACATTAAATGCTACTAGAAGTCAAAGAAATTTGATAATGATTTTCCACTCCAACACAATAATCAATCGAATAACGCTATCAGACAAAAATTTGAAAATTGCAATTTGAGTTAATAAAATTTGTGCAATTTCTCAAAAACAACTATAGTTCATTTTGTTCTCTGTCCAGTGTAGTATATTGGTCGGTCGTTGGTGGCAAGCCAATAAAACCGCACCATTAAGACCACTTGAACGAGACCACATACAGTCGAGCGACGGTTGTATTTCGCCTAGAGCGCGGGAGAACTGAAGTGGATGGTGATGAGTCCATTGTACTACTATATTCGCGAAGTGACATTGAAATGAGCTGCCACAAATCAGCCCTGTCTCATTGGATATATAAGTATATTCTCTAATATACATGTACTTGTTCATACAACCACAACTGCAACAAAAAATTAAATAGTATAACATATATACAATTAAAATGGATAAATAGAATATGCTGGGACCGGGTATGGCATGAATATATTTATTGGTGCCGCAGTAGTAGTGCTTGCTGTCTAGAATTTTTTGAAAGAATGTAAAGCCGATTACAACGGAATGAATTTACTGCCGGATAGCACTAGTTTCTATGATCTTGTCTATTTAATAGGTGCATTCAAGTGTTTGCGTTGTTTTTTGTTTTTTAGCTTGTGAATCATATGATGATAGTATGGGTGCATCTGTGTTTGGTGTAATAAAACAAAGCTGGTTATTTTCTATAAACAAATCAATACGTATACACATACATTATTATTTGCCGTGATTTTTATACCGTCAGATATTGTTTGTTGCTTTAGAACAATCAAATAAGAAACATAAAAGGGAGGAATGAAAATGATTTTTGTCGCCCCAAAACTATGTTGTAACGTAAAATAATACAATGTTTTTGAGGGCTTCACCTTGGGCGGGTATAATAGCTATAATATATAATTTTTACATAAGAGAAAAATAAAGAAAATATTAAATGTTGACATTTTTTCCATTTTCTATGCATTTTATAGGGCGTTATCATGTTGTACGAAAATTAGGATGGGGCCATTTCTCCACCGTATGGCTGTGTTGGGATTTGCAGGAGAAACGTTACGTGGCCATAAAAATTGTAAAATCAGCTCATCATTTTGCCGAGACGGCTAAAGACGAAATTAAGATACTCAAATCGGTGCGCGATTCGGAACCAAGCAATCCGCGTCGCCAGAAGACTGTGCAGCTGCTAGATGACTTCAAGATCACTGGCGTAAATGGCACACACATTTGCATGGTGTTCGAGGTGCTTGGCGACAATTTGCTAAAACTTATACGTAAATCCAATTACCGCGGCATACCCATTGAAAACGTAAAGTCGATCACACGTCAAGTTTTGGAGGGTCTGGACTACTTACACTCCTGTTGCAAGATTATTCACACCGACATTAAGCCAGAGAATGTGCTGCTTTGTGTCGATGAACAGTATGTGCGCTCGTTGGCTAACGAAGCTACCGAATTGTATGTCATGAATTATAAAATGTTTCCATCGTTTGTTAGTCGAGCTCCCAAAGAATATCGGGAACCGCAAATTACCGGCAAGATGAGTAAAAACAAGAAAAAGAAACTAAAGAAAAAGGCAAAAAAACGATTGGAGTTGTTTAAAAAGCAATGGGACTATCTGGAACAGAGTGGCGGTGGCGTACCGGAGGGCGGTGTAGCGCCAGTAGCGGCTGATGGTGGAACCTTGTTGGCCAATGATGGCTTTGGTGATGGCAACAATGAGCAGCATGCGCGCTTGAAAGGCGGTAAATTGGTTAATGGCGATGTGACTGACCCAGACGACGGTCACGAAGATGATGAAGATGGCGATGACGAAGATGCAGAACAAGATGTCATTGCAGAGGACAATGACGCAGATGGCGATGCAGATGACGACGATGAAGAGGAACAGGTGCTA